CACTTCATCATCTGTAGATTCTGTATCTTCTACATACTTTACTAATAAATTTATATAATACTTTTGAGTTTGTTTTTAATACGGAATAATAAAAACAGCTTATTTACTATTATGATCTAGTAATAGTTTACGTTTTCTATTACCATTTAATTTTTTAATTTTCCTCATGTTGTCACTTGAACTTGAATCATCTGATTGTGTCTTATGTTTTGATTTCCTTGAACATCTCATGCAGTACCAGTTTCCGGCTAGTATTCTTGCAAGTGGTGGTTTTAAACACCTAGTGTAAAAGCCTTTACCACAATATCTATTGCACAGGAGAATATAACCTCGATCTCTTTTCTATTTGCATACAGAACAACCACAAAAGTCACAAAATTCTTTTTTAGATTCATAGCATTCTTCATATTCCGACCATTCCGGTAAATCATCATCACTACCATTATCACCACTAATATTTTTTCTTAAGATTAAATTCTTTGTTAACACTAATAGTTTGTGTGGTTAAAAATTTATATTATTAGAATTAATAAATTTCATAAATATCAATTGGAGCATTTTTAAGAATAAGACTTAGGTTAGTATAATAGTTAATTTCAGTTGATCTAATCTCTAAAATTAAATATTATTCAACTGAAAAAATATTACTCACTTGATCTTTCTCAGTAATTTTGGAGATCTTATTTATCTGTTTGTCTTCAGTTCGTTGAATCCTCTTTGGACTAATGTTTTTTCAATTCCTTTAATAACTTCATAATCTGAATTTAATTTATCATTTTTATCGACTTGTAAGAACGATTCATTATCTCGATTACCCTAGTTTTCATTTTACAGATTTTGAAATGTTAAATGACTACTAAAATCTCTTTGATCATTATATATTCTATATTTAGACCTTTTTTTTTTAGTTACGTAGTGTCACTCACATCAGTGCATATACATACTGGTACATCATCAATTATAAAACCAGCATGTTTATTTATTATCTTGCTAGAAATGTCTTCTTTAATAAGGATCGCTCTTGATGCTTCCAAATTTAGAGTAGTGTTAATTCTATTATCTAAGGAGATGGTTGCTAAGCATAACTGGCTATTGAAAGTAACAGTGACAACTTTTCCTTCAGTTGCTTTTCAAATTAGGTTGATCGAATTTTTTATAATTTCTTTATTTTCTACAATTTTGATCATTATTTTTTAATAGCACAGTAGCCAAGAATGTTTGAAAAGATAAATATATCAAAAGCCTGAAATTCTTGTTATAATTTCCCTACGTTGCTTATATTAATATATAATGATCTTATTATAAATTTACATATATATATTCATTAAAAATATAATGACGTTGATACATGAAAATGAATTCTCAAGTTATATTAAACCAAATCATATTTGTGATGACATGCTGTAGTCTGACAAATTATACTAACACATATTTTCAAATTAAAAGGATGGAAAAAATATAACAATGACAATAATGATAAAAAAATGAAAAACTAGCGAATGTGCTAGAATTTAAATTGAGATTTAATCACGTGAAAGACAATAAGATTGGCATGCCACATAAATTTATATCGATATTGTATTGCCTGAAGTAAAGTATGGCATCGTAATTCAAATTATGATATGTAGTAATGTAGTAATTATTTACTACAAAAGTAGTAATTGTAATTATAATTACTACATTATAAAACTTTATTTTTAGATTTATTATACAATTATTTTAGTCAATGTGATAATAAAAAGAAATTGTGATATATAATTAAATTACAATTCTAAAGGGGCTAAGCTTGCTGAAGTAAAAACTATACAGTAATTATTATACATATTAGTTTGAAAAAGAATCGTTATTTTGCTAATTGATCATATGATTTATACATAACTCAATGCTAAGCTCCTATTCTCTAATATCAAAAAAAAATCAGAAATTAATCTATACAATATTTCCAGTTACAACTAATCGATTGAAAAAATTTTGACGATTTGTAACACTAACCTATACTGTAAAAATAAAATAATAATATAATCAAATATACACGTTCTATATCATTATACTGTACTAAAATATTTTAGACATATTAAAATATTTTAGACACCCTAAAATATATTCGACAGTCTGAATTATTTTAGACAA